TTGCAGGATGAGGAAGCAGCACTGTCTCAACAACATCTGTTTGAGCAAGGAAACAGCAGCAGAAAGGTGGCTGGAGAAGACCCCATTGCTCATCTGCAACAGCTGAACCTCCCAGTCACACATTATTTCAGGACGCTGTTGCTCAGTTTTGCATCTTGTCAACTTCTCCCTGCCTAATGAGGCCCCTCCTCTTCCCTGCACACCTCATGCCATGCCATGATCACCCCATCGGCTTACTGCCGTCTGTCTCCCATCAGTGCCCCATGGCTCCTGGTTTGAACATGTCCGAGGCTGGATGGAGATGAAGGACAGGGAGAATTTCTTCTTCATCACCTACGAAGAGCTGAAACAGGTAGTGATCTTGGCAGACCCACTTGCTCCAAATGTGCTGATGCGTCACCTAGGTGGTAACAGGCTTATTCTGTGTCCCTAAGGACCTGCAAGGCAGTGTGAGACGCCTCTGCCATTTTCTGGGACAGAACTTGGATGACGATGCTATCTCCTCAGTAGTCCAAAACGCCTCCTTCACGGCCATGAGGCAAAACCCTATGTGCAGCTCCATCTTGCTCCCTGCAGACATCATGGACCAGACCAAAGGCCAGTTCCTGAGGAAGGGTGAGTAGAGAGGTCCCCATCGAAGTGCTGGGTTTTGTTGTCCCCTTGGCAGCACTAGAGAATGAGGAGGACACAGCACAGGCACTTAGGTTAAGAGAACTGGGTCTGTGGGGATGGCTATTCATTTTGGACAGCTCTCAGTGTAGTGATTGCACTCAAAAACTGTGCAGGAAGGAGTATTGTATAGTGGTTTGTGCTCTGAAACAGAAATATTCCTTCCTCAGGCATCTGTGGGGACTGGAAGAACCATTTCACTGTGGCACAGTGTGAGACCTTCAACAGAATCTACCAGGAGAAGATGAGGGGTTTGGACGTGGCCTTTCCTTGGGACAGAGACCAGGATCCAGACCTAACTGAGACCATCTGAGTAATGAGTATCTGCCATCTATTGACAACAGGGGTAATGGGTTGCTGTTGGACACAGGGAGTCGGATCCAGGAGTACAAATGGCTGCAACATGTTGGGGTACAGTTTGCTGCCAAGCCAACTGTGTGTTTTATCATGGGTATTTAACAGCTCAGCCTTGTCAGTGAATGGGAGAAATGTGCTGCAGAACAGGAACTACCTAGAGATCATAGCCAAGTGCATCACAGTCAGACTTGTAAAGACTTTTTAATGTCAAACACTAAAGAAGGACTTAGGGATATCAAAGAAGGGGAAGACCTTTTGTGCATTTTGGCTCAGACACGGTTCTGTGATGTGTGTATCTCCAAGCCCTCACAGAGCATACAGGGAAATCCAGCTCTTTGTAAGTGCCAAAATACAGCTTGTAAAATACCCACAGCTTTACTTCCTGGACATGCAGCCAGAGTTGCTTGGGCATGACTCCAGCCTTTTGCAGACACCACCTGGTCTATCCAGCCATAGAAACTTATCCTATGGACAGTGAGCAGTGCCTTCCATATTGGTCGGACTGGCATGTTCATGTTGTGCAATGTCATAGCTAGAAGATGACCTGACTTAAGGAAAGACTACTAACGCTGTTGTAGACTAACTTGCCTTTATGGTGCACCCATTCAGGCCAATCACGTTCTACTTAATGATCATCCATGTGGGAGCTTAGAAATAAAGGACATGTGGCACAGCATTAGACAGTGCCTACAAAATCATGGTCAAAATTGTTTTGTCTTACATAAAGTACAGTTCAATTACCTAGTTCATGGGCTGATTGCCTTATTTATATGTTTGCATTCGAGCTATGTGTGATGCATTCTATACTAAGCATGATATTACTCTTCCACCAGCCTGCTAACCCACTCAAACTGTGGGTTTGGGCCACTGCCTTAGCTGGACTTTGTAGAAACTGAAACTTGCGGGGCAACAGGCCATGTTTGTATCCCAATAAAGATGACTTAAGCGCTGTGTGGTGTCTCCGACATCATTCAGTGCATATGGCACCCACTTGGACTTTGGAGATATTAAAGCATTAGATAAAGGCTAGGTACGATGAGCTATGGTGCATACAAAGGTCTTCAGTAAAAGACCCCAAAAATGCTTTGCTGGCTTCAGGAAACAAAATTTTCAGCCTCAAACCCCTTTACCAGCAGGAGAAGAGTCTAACGAAAATGCAGCAAATACAGGTGTTCACCTCATGATTGCTCTTTCTCTTAACTCACTTCTAAATGCAGAGCCCTCATGAACACATAAAAACTAAAATCTGTGCTCATGGGAAGTGTCAGGTGCTTTTAAGGTCTGCAGAGGGAGAATGCAAGCAGAGCATGACTCACTTGTGTCGGGTTATATCTCCTCATATACATGGAGACCATTGTTGGGATATTCCAGTTCTCCCCCAGTTCTGATGGAGAAAGGAATAATGTCTCATTTTTTAAAATTGGAATGCTAATGATACTAAATCTGGATCCTCAGAACACAGTGATGATGTTATTAGGAGACAACACAGACGCTAATTATCTTTGCAGAAACTGATCACCTGGTTAAAGAAACAGGAGGTCTTTGCTGTCCCACGTTGATAACAAACTGATAATGATGATGCTAAAGCAGCCAAAGTCACAGCGTTCCTTGGTGTGAATGCACTGGACAAATCAAATGTGTGGCTGCAGTAAAATCAAGACACTTAGCTTTTTTTCATGATTTCCTGAGGAGATGCATCAGAGCCGGGGTCTGACCCACCTGCTTCAGCACAGGGTCCTCTGTGGGATGCAGCATGGAGATCATGAGAGACAGTGGTCACACCTGTAATTTCCCATTGCCACTTGAACCCAAATATTAGGTCAGGCATAGAACAAAATAGAATAGTTCAGTAGGAAGGGACCTAAAAAGATGATTGGGCCCAACAGCCCAATCTCTTCACAATTAACTAACCACTGAAACATGCTGTTATGGACATTATCCATATGCTTCTCATCATAGTTTTGGCTGGGAGATTTGTATATCCTTTTTACGTACTATTTCTCCATCAGCCCTTGTACAGAGCTCTATTCTGCATTTTTGATGAAAATAGTGCTGATTCCTTACTGGTGTTTAAGCTGCTGCTGAGCTTTTGTTTTCATCCACCAAACTGGCATTCTTATCATACAAGGAGATCAAGTTAATAAAATAGGACTTCACATGAACCTATGCTGGCTATGGTTGACTGGCTATGACTGAAAGGAAATCTTCAACAGCAGCAAAACAATGTTCTTCATTACTTTTCCAAGGGCTGAAGTTAGACGGACAGGTCTATAGTTTCCCAGATCTTCCCTCATGCCACATTACCACTTTGACTTTACTGGACTGTTGAGATAAATCCATTTATAACATCTGCTGATTCCTTTGGAACTCTGGAGTGGATCTCACCAAGCTCCATGGTCTTATGAACAACAGGACCCTTACAATTTCAGTGGCCACAGAAAGAAAATCACCGCTCCCTTAATCATGGACCTGAAACTCATAGACCATCGTTTGTATTTAATACCCCAAATCCCATTTATATTATATTTAATACTATAAATAGAAACAACAAAAAAATATCCTTCAGAACAAGCAAATCAGGCCAAGGTTCTAAGACATAGTATGACAGCATGGCATGTGGGATCAAAATCAGAGAGGCTAAGGTGCAAAATGAGATAGGTAGAGCAAAGGGTACAGCAGGTAGCAACATTCTGTTGCAAAACCACATTTACAAGATGGGAACGAGTAGGGAAAGAGTTTATCAGCAAAGCAGAAAGGACAGGAAGATAGTGAAAGTGTGTGCAAACTGTGCTGAAGTGCTGAATCTTTTCCACTTTCATTTTTTGTAGAAATTCTTCTTATTATGACGCTACTAAAATAATGAAAGAGATGTTAGACAGGTTGAAATACTGAACGTACACTTAGGAAAGACAGGTATTTTGATGTGAATTTAAAATCACAAT